ATAAGTTAAACACCGATAAGATGCAAGGTTTGAGTCATCAATGTTTTGAGTTACTTTAATTAAATTGTCCGTCTACCTTCTTTAATCTCTTCTTTAAACTACGTGCCTAACGGATATGTTGTATGTTCGGAGGTAGCACGTAACTAATTCAAGGCATGTACTCAGTCCTAATGTGCTGTAATTCTAAAATACAAGGTATTGATAGAAAAGAAGCAATTTTTGAAAACAAAATTCATCTTTTAAGTCAATTTATTAACTATTTCTTATATCCCACATTCCAAACTAACAAATGGGAAAAATTAAATAAGGTGGAATGTTAATAATCTGATTTTAATGAGTAATTCAGCAGCTTAAAAATTAAAAATTTTAGCAGAAAAAAGAACACTGACCTAAAAATTATAGCACTTGTATACAATATTCATAGACAACATTCAAAGCAATAGCAGTAACCCAAATGACAATTACACCTGCCATTGCTGCCAATTAGCAGAGGCAGCAAAAAATTGTTCATGAAAATTAAAACCATAACAATTAACATAAAACAAACCAAAAAAAAAATTAATGGTCAAAAAAAGAGCAATAATACTAAATTAAAGATACAAAGGAATTTGGTAAGCCTAAAAATTGTTGAAAGTTGAAAGAAAATGAGAAAAGGCAGTGATTTACCTAAGAGAGAGCGTGTGAGTCTTTGAATTCGATTTCTGGGAAAAAAGTTTGATCCTGAAATTTTAAAATTGGGGGAAAGTTGAGGTATTTTAGATAGAAATGGAAAAGAAAGAAGACGAGTAAAAGGGTTGTGTTGTTGTAGTTGTTTGTATGTGAGTGTTCATAAGGCTTCTTCGATTTGCTTTATTGTGAGTAGTTTTCTGATTGTTGAGGAACAACAAGATGTTAACCCAATATAGAGGACAGGAGATAGACTTTTTTTTTTTTTTTTTTTTTTTGAGCTTTAGGGTCCAATTGTGAGAAATTCCTAAAATATACTCTGTGTTTTGCAACAAAAGATTTAAAGAGATCAAAAGAGAACTTCAGATACTCAGATAATTCTTTTCTCTCTCCTCCTTTCTCTCACCAAAATTCTAGCCTCCATTGTTGAATTTTGAAGGGGTTTTCATCGATTTTAATCAGTAGAAAACCCCAATCCTTGTTTTTTTATTGTTTTTTTAGGTTTATAATAATGTTTTCTCCTTTTGGGAGGAACTTTTCTCCTTCGAAAGACAAGGGTTATCTCCTCTTTTCGAGGGAGAAATTTCTTAGTTTTGAATCCATGGTAGCAGATCTAATGGATTGTCGTGAAATTATTTCGTTGGTGAAAAAGTTATCAAGTTTTCGAATACGAACAGATGAATCAGAAGGAAAACATCCTCACGGCTACAAAAGATCGTTAGATTGTCTCTCCAACAAGGCTGTAATTTTCAGCAATATAAGCGGGAGATGCTCCGTAGTGCAAGATCTACTCGACGACCGTAGTTTTTATGAAGGAAAATTCTATATGATTCAATATCTTATGTATTTGTTAACGCCGAATCTCTATTGTAGATGTCGTATGACTTTTAATTAATGAAATATTTTTGCAGCAAGTCAATCTTTTCTATGAAGGCAGGAAGGCAAACAGGCAGCTGACTTATTAGCTAAATATTGTAGGACTTCTCCGAATCAAGATGTAACTCTTGTAATTTTGTATGATCCACCAGACTTTATCCGGGATGTAATTTTGGAGGTTAAGCCTCCCTAACTGTCCTGTATTTTGTTGACCATGTCTCTTTAATCTAGTTTATGCCCCCGGCTTGCATCAAAAAAAAAAAAAAAAAAAAAGATACTCAGATAATTGTTGTGCAGATTTTTCTCATATTATGCAGAGATTTTCATATTATGCAGAGATTTATTATATACCCCAGTCTGAATAGTATTTACTTGATATATTAAACATATAGTGAAATGTCTAATCGAGCATGCGGTTTCTAAGTGACAATATTTATTCTTGTATGAGAAGCTTAGAGGTGATGTTTGGCGGTAGTGGTGGCCAATAGGCCGGGTTGGACCCAGACTACCCTGACCCACACGGCCAGTGGGTCATCAAATGGATTTAGCCTGAATCTAACCCAGCACAACCTGTCTGAAAAGGTGGGTGTATTGTAGGTCCAAAAATTCTAGTCCAGCCTACTTCGATCCAGGCCGTTTTGACCCATGTAATTCGGCCCAACCCATCCAATCCACTTTGACCCACGTGATTTGTAATCGTTGAGCCCTACACCCTAGTATAGGGTCTTCTACCTACACCCCCTACAAAATGGTACCATTCAGCTTTCTACTAACTCAGTACTCCTTACTACGCATATACCTAGGGCTGTACACGGACCTGACCCGGTCCTGAATGGACCGAGACCTGAATCCTTGATTTTTAAGGATCGGAGACAGGACCTGAATCAACAGGTCCGGTTCCGATCCAGACCTGAAAAATCAGGTCCTGTCCGGGTTTGGACCTGAATAGACCTGATTATTGATTTTTTTTTCGTTTTTTTTAATAATATAAAATTGTTGACTAATTTAGACTTGTTTGGACCTATTTAGATCTGTTTGGACCTATTTATGGACCTGTTTAGACTTATTAAATAAAAAAGTAGCTTTATCGATTTCAGGTCTGAACTTGAAAATTCCGGGTTTTACCCGGACCGAACCTGAAACCCGAAATCCTTGAATTTCAAGGACCGGGACCAGACCTGTATCTACAGGTCCGGTTCAGATCGGTTTTCAGGTTCGGGCCAGTTTTTGTACACCCCTACATATACCCATTTGCTACACTAACATTCATACCTCACATACTACATTAAAAAAAAAATCATCATTCAAATTCTCCCTCTTCATCCTTTTAATTATATTTCCCCATTTTCTCTCTCATCAAAACCTTCTATATTTGCAATTTAATTCCAATAAAAAGTTAAAATTCTCTAATACCATTTCGTAACACAAGATTTACTAACTAATAATATACAATAAATAAAGGAAAAATAGACAATTTTTAAATAAAATTGCAGAAGCATACACCTAAATTGGAGGTATTAGTGCCACACTCGACAACTTGTCAAGTGTTAAGGCTTACAAAATCCCAACTGTACAACTCAATAAGTCTAAGTGACCTATTTATACAACTTTACAAACTCGTTATATAATTATAACAAACTAATCAAAACACTTGAGCTCCTTTAGCTACGATCACTTGGTTAACCTGCTTATACAAACTTGACTGCTCATCATTAAGGACAAATTCCAAAATAGATTGTCGCAGGGCCACCATAAGAAAAAGACATGACCTCAAATACAAGTAGCATAACAAACAAACACACACATCAGCAAAAGCTGAGTAATCACCACATATCAGAATACAAAGAATTAATATGATAATTAACGTTACTAGATCAATTAAACAATGTAGTTCAAAACTACATTACACATTGTACTCTAAAAATAACCTTTATCAACTCAACCTCGAATAATAATACATTCCTTTTACTCAATTAACTCATATATCCCATAAGTGTGTCATGCTCTTTGTTTTATACTTAGCCTTGGACATGTATGGGTAATTCGAATAACAAACCAACAAGTATAAAAAACTTGAATACTCTCAATAACCAGAAAAACACCTTGAAATAGACCACATATGGGCCAATTCCCACTGTAGGGGACCATAGAAAATAAATAATAGAGATTGTACTTTATTCTTAACTCATGATCATTATCTTATTACTAACATTCCAAGGACTAAGGTCTATAACGCCGAGCCTCAAACCAAAAATAAAATAAACATTCTCAACCTTTTGATCTCATATATCGATGATCAAATAACTATTCACAGGTTAATAAACAATATCTCAACAATAGTCCCTAGAACAACAACAATAAAAACCTAACATAATAACACAATGAAACAATAAGACAATTAAATCATATAATACAACACACTAATTAGCAATCACATATATATACATCTTGATCATACAAATAACGAATCATAAGATTTATATATAATAATATAGAGTAAGATCAATACAAACAAATTAAATTTATCAAACAATTCCAAGAAAATAAATCGTGTGATTACCTTTCGAAAACATAATACTCATAAGTATTATCATGCAAGTCCACACATGGTTGCTATATATTAACGCACAACTACTGCTTTTAGTTTGCTTATACTCAAGGCTTGCAAAGAAGAAAGATTATGGCAAACAAAAAAAATATCATAGTTGAATTTGCTTGCATAATTAAGAAAAACAATCATAGAGTTTGAAGTCTTGATCGAAAGAATCAAGAAAGAAAAAGAAAAACAAGACGGAAACCCTGTAAAAATAAATAAATAAGTCGGTTATAAAAATATTACGTATAATATAAGAGGTTAAAATTATGAATTGAATCCGACGTAGAATAGGGTTTTAAAACTTTTCAAACTCTAAAATAAAAATATGAGATTAGAAAATTTATTTAATAAATAAAAATAAACTATTTTTTTAATAAAATATATTATATAAAATCATAAAATATTTTGGTATTACAACATAATCAAGCACAATGTATAATATATGAGAAGAATTTGCACAATTGCTAGAAAAATCAGCAAAACAAAGTCGAAAATCGAAATTGTAAGTGTTTTTGTTAATTTTTGGAATGAAAAACTGAAATTTGTATAATACACAAGGGTGTACCATGCTCATGGTAAACCTGATGATTTGGCGTAACTAATTTGCTGAAATATAATTATATGGAAAAAAAACAAAATCCATTAATTATAGGGAGTTAGACAAAATTGTCGTTAAAAAAAAGCAGGAATTTTTTTCAGTTTTTTTTATAATTATCCTTAATTGACATTTTCCCTTTTTGAAATATTTAGAGAGAGAAAATTACAGAGATTCTAAAAGTTTACAGAGAGAAAATTTTAGAGAGAAAGATACAGAGATAAATTTGATACCGATCAATAGAATACTTTGTAGAAGAATTTAATAATGGTTTATCAATCCGAATTTCGCCATGATTCTGATGCTAGATTTGTTGGTGGTGATGATAATGATCATATCAATAATGAAGGTGAATTCGAAGATTTCGTAAACGAAAATGAAGGTAAATTGCTTAATCGATTATCTTTTCATTTGTCATTTCAGCCTTTTTATTATTTAATTTAGGTTTTATTGCTAATTTAAATTTTATTATCGATTTATGAATATATATTTATTTTTACATCAATAATTTTAAGATTGAAGATGAAGTTCTTTTATCATTTAGTTATGTTCTTTTATGTAACTTATATTTAACTTATTATATATATTTTATTAGTGCTATAAAAAAGGTTGATATTATTTAAAAAACGCATGTGCATTTGCTAAATATATATGTATTTTGTTTGACTCCTTATGCACTTTGTTGAAATCTAGTTGCTTAAATCACTGTTATATTTACGCATGTACATTTGCTAAATATATATGTACTTTGTTGTACTCTTTATGTACATTGCTGAAATCAATTTGTATATATTAAAGAACATCATTGACATATTAAAGAACACTAGCTATTGATGTATTAAAAAAATCATCGATATATTAAGGGGAGATGGGTTTGGGACATGGTCAGGTGGGAGTTCACATTTATTACTATTATTATTTTTTTATGATAAAACATTTGTTCAAGTGAATATTTAGATGAGGAACTCACGTGGCCCAAAACATGTTGTGTAATTTGAGTAGAGTAATCTAAAAGTAGGAATGCCTAGTTGCCTATTGTATCCCATAAGATAAATTTACAAAACATATCCAGAGGCAAAATACGTTCAAAAGAAATGTGTATGTATTGCCATCTTGACAGATACATATATTGGTCTACTGTTTTAGGTTTTACTGAGGCAAGTGAATCAGAATTGTTTGACAGAAAAGTTAAGTCTGATGAAGAGGCTTATGAGTTGTATAATAGTTATGCCTTTAAGCATGGTTTTGGTATACGTAAGGATAAGTTGAATCGTAGAGAAGACAAAGTTACAATTTAACAACGTTTTTTTGTATGTTCTTTTTCTGGCTTTAAACAAGAGAAGAAATTAAACCCGGTGAAGAGCCAAAAGTGTACCAAAAGAGGAATTTTCGCACAGGTTGCAAAGCTCATATTCAATTTGATGTTGAAAAGAATTCTGGTTTGTTTGTCGTGGTCAATCACACTATGGATCATAATCACAGTAGGGTTCCTGTTTCAAAGAGACATTTAATAAGATCTCATAGGAAGGTAAAGGAACGTTCTATCTTTGTTCTTTTTCAATGCAAATAACTTCATACTTTCTTTTTCTAATAACATTATGTTCACTTTTGTAAGTAATATGTTCTTTTTGATACAGGTAACTGAGGAACAAGTCGCCATGCTTAGCAGTTTAACTGAGAGTAGTATACCTGTTGCTGATGCAGTGCGCGTTTTAAAAAATCAAGCTGGTGGTGAGGCAAATTTTAGTTTTCTTTGTAGTGATTCTTATGGTGCTTTATCTGCACATAAGAAATTGAAGTTTGATGGATGTGATGCAAAGCGATTGCTTAGCTACTTTAAGGAGAGGAAATGCAACAAATTTGACTTCTATTATGATTTTGATGAGAAAGATCAATTGCAATCTTTCTTCTTTCGTGATAATAGAATGAAAGTAGACTATGATGCATTTGGAGACTTATTGGTCCACGATACGACGTATCGTACAAACAAATATGGTATGATATGTGGTCCTTTTGTTGGTATGAACCATTATAATAATAATGTTATGTTTGGTATTGGCTTTTTGATAAATGAAAAATGGGAGTCATTTGAGTGGTTGTTTACCATTTTTCTGAAATCTATGGGGAGCAAACAACCAGTGACAATAATGACTGACCAATCTCAAGCAATGGCCAAAGTAATAAGGATTGTTTTTCCGAATTCTCGACATCATTTATGTATTTGGCATATTGGGGAGAATGCAAAGAAAAATATCAAAGGACTAAAGGCCAATGAAGGTTTTAACGATTTGTTTGATATTATTTTGAAATACACATATACTATTCAGGAATTTGAACATTATTGGACAAGGTAATTTTCAGTGTTATTTATGTTTAACTATGTTCTTTTTTTAATACCTCAACATGCTCTTTTTTATAACAACAACATTCTTATTTATAAATCAAGTTCATTTTGTTATTTTATATAGCATTATTTGGCATGAGAAGAATTCATGGTGTTCTTAATATGTTTTACTTATATTTTTCTTTGTTCTTAATTAATTTATATACGATCTTTTATTTAACAATTATGTTCTTTGTGTAACCTTTAATGTTCTTTTGCAGCATGCAGAATAAGTACAAATGTGAAGATCACAAATGGCTCCAAAATTTGTATAATATAAGAGAGATGTGGTGTCCAGCATATTCCAAAGATTACTTTAGTGGTGGTATTATGTCATCTCAAAGGAGTGAAATCACAAACAAATCAGTTTGTCGTAGACTTTATGCTACTCATGGTCTTTGTGATTTCTACACTACTTTTATTGAGGTGGTTGATGAGTGGAGGAGCAAAGTGGGTAGTAATGATTATAATAGTTTAACTGGTAACCGATATCTAGTATGGGCGGATATTGGAATTTTGGAGCATGCAAGGAGGATTTATACAATCAAAATTTATTTACATTTTGAAGATAATTTTGTGAGCAGTGTTCCTTGCACAGCTAAGGTCATACGAATGCAACCTCCTCTTTATGAATATCATGTGGGCCATCCCAAAAAAGATCTGCTAATGCATACAGTTGCATTTGATGAATCAACTGCCACAGTTGATTGTACTTGTAATTATTTTGGTGAGGTCGGACTATTATGCAAGCATTCACTTCGTGTCCTAAAGGTACATTAGTAAGAGATAGACAAAAGGTGCTACATGCACAAGGGTTGATGATAATGTTATTGCTGAAAAGGGTGTCATACCTTCTAGTGTATGGAGATTGCATTTTATTCGAACTTTTATTGGACTTGTCGATAGGGCGCAAAATGACTTAGCTGCTCGAACAACCATTGAGGAAGCAATTAATGAGTGTTCTAATAGGATCAATCTTTTACGAATAAAAGATAAAGATGAACCGCAAGAATTTTTGATAACTGATCAACATGGTGCTTCTTCAGACAAAGGGTGAAGGCAATCTTTTAGAACCACAAATTTTGAGGAAGAAGTTTTTGAAATAGAGGATGTTGTGGAAGAAGAACATTCAGTTGATGTTGAAGTGAAAGATCCTATCCAAAAGAGGAAAAAGGGACAAAAAAAACACAAGATTGAAGAGTACCCAAGAAAAGATTTGCAACAAGCTCAAGGGTCAAAAGATTAAGTCATAGAAAAAGAAAAGTGCGAAAGGGGTTTAAAAAATGAGACAAAAGGCTCAGACTACGATTAAGGTAATTTATTGTAATACCCCGTATTTTTATACGTATTTTATTTAAAATATGTATTTTGTAAAGGTATTTAAATAATTTTAAAGTTTTAATTATGGTATTTTAACTATTTATTCTATGTAAGTTTGGAAATATTTTATAAAAGGAAAGTTTATTTTATTATTTATTTTATAAAAGTTGGGGTTTATTTTAAGAAAGTATGATTTTTAATAAATTTTATTAGGGAAGGGATTAGGAAAATTAAAAGATGAAAGTTTAGGGGAAAAGGGTTGGTAGAGAAGGGATATAAATATCCCACTTATGAGGCAAATCAACTTTGCCCAGAGTGGAGAAAACCCAAGGTAAATTTCTCTCTCTCTTCTCCTAATTTTTCTTTCCTTTTCTTTTTTTTTTCAGCTGCTCTTTCTCCCCTCCACCGCTGCCGACCATCGACAGCAGGTGGCCGCCGCTGCTTGAGCAGGTGGCTGCCGTGCTCCTTCTTCCCCCTTTTTCGATTATAAAAAAAAAACTTAATCTTTATTGTTCTAATTTAATCTATGCTTAAATCTAATTGTAAATTATGAGTTTTGGGATTTGATTTTGATGTTTGATTATAAGTATTATGTTGATTAATTTTCAGATTATGTTTTTAATTAAAAAGCCCCAATTTTTTAAACCCTAGGTTCTTGATTTATGAATAATTGAAGGATTATGATGTATAATGGTTTAGATCTTTAATTAAAGTGTTTTAAGTCTTAATTACAGCAAGTTTTAATTAAAATAAAGTGCTGGAATTTTTAGTAGAGTATTTAAAATTAAGTTTCTTTAAGAAATTTCAATTACCCATTAATTGGGACTAAAGTATGATGTTTTAAATATAATTTCAGCTTATTTTAATTAATTATGAAGAGTTTTATAATAGTATATATTGCTGGAAATTTGTGTAGAGTGGATGTTAATACTCTTCAATGATTTTAAATTGTAGGAGACTTTGAAGTGGGCAATTTTATTAGTCGTGGCGATTTTAAGATCGTATTCAAGGTACGTTCGCGTACTTAGTATATTTTGGTGATGTAGTATCATGCTAGGATTGATTTAAATCAATTACAAGTAGTATCATGCTAAGGTCTATGTTTGGAAGTGTGAATTATTGGTGTTGGTGATTGAATTGTGAAGCATGATTTTTTTGTGATGGTTTATGGATTGGAAAATTATATTTTGGCATGATGATATGGACCACACTTTTATTTATGGAATGTTAGAATGCATGTTTAATTAAACTACACGTTTAATTTGGCTTGAAATATTGAAAAAGAATTTTATTATGGTTCATATAATTTTTACTGATGCTTTAAGCATAAGAAATGAGCTATATAAGTGTCTATGTACACGAGGAATTAATTGCATGTTGGTGCCTTTGTGCACTTAAGGTGTTTTTAACACTGAGGGATAGGACTTGTGGCGCTTTATGCGTTTAAGGTGTCTTTGACACTGAGGTAGAATTAAAAAGGGTTCAACATTAAATATTGTGTGGTCACTAATTATTCAAGAATTAAATTGGTGTATTTGTTTGATTGAATAATTATTGTTGATTGAATTATTATGATTCAAGTCTAATAATATGTAAATAACATAAAGTGAAAGAGATTACGCACCAAAACTCTTGAAACGTATATACCTTGAGTATGAACATATGGGGGGAGTTATATGACTTTATATTTGATCATAACTTCTAATGGAGTACAGGACGTTGTACATTCCTTTTTATTATTATTATTATGCGCTGGAATTCCGCCACGTATGTGTGGTTTTGTGCTGGCACGGTTAGCTCCCGTGTCAGTTAACCTTAATTTATTTGGGGGAGGTAGAGTTGGAAACCCGTTCGATGCGTGATCAACGCTAAATAAATTATTTAGTAGTCTAGTTGAAAAGTCTTGTTGAATGTTGTGCGTGCTTGTAGACAGATGCATTGAGGTAAGTGTGTATTGATAGGTGAAAGCATATTAGTGTGTTTATTTACGCTTATGTACTCAACTTTGCTGATTGTGTGTATGTGTGTTTTGGCCATGTCTTTATCTTGGCCCTATGATGACCCATTTTTAATGGACAGTAGTGAAAACAAGTAGAGATAAGCTTTTCAGGTATTGAAGCATATTCGTGACGGGGCATGAGTGAAGAGCGAATCATGCTAGTTTTCATTAGTTACGATGTGTTTAATGCTTTACTTATTTATGATATTATTTATATGTGGAACTAACTTTAAGTTTTGGATTTGATTCGGTTTTTAATAAGGGCCTTTAATGGTTCTAAGTTGTAGGTTGACTTATATTTGACTTTGTTTGATTTGGTTTTAACTTTACTCTCGTTTGGGTGACTTTTGAGTTGACTTGTTTTAAACGGTTTTTGATTTTAAGTCTTCTGCTGTGTATCTTTAATAGTTTCCTTAGCCGTTTTCACGGTGGTGATAATGTCTTAGATATACCTAAATCGTATTTTTAAAGAGTAGAATAGGTATTTATAGGAAAGGAATTTATAAGGTGTTACATTTATGCCTTATGTTCTTTATAATATTTGACATGTTTTTTTGGTAGGAGTTAAATGTTCTTCTTGTAAAGTTATATTGTTCTTTTTACTAATACAATGCCTTTTCTTTTATTCAAGGATTTTTTGGTTGTCCCTGAAGGAAATAATTTGGCACATTCAAGTGAATTTGGAGGTTCTTTGGAGGTTTTTGAGCTAGCCTGACGATTATTTTGGAGTAAATGTAATACGTTCATCAAATTAAAAATTCATTTACACTTGTTTACAGCTCAAGATTTATGTATTCACGCAACATTTTCTTCTTCTTCTTTTTTTTTTTTTCCTAATAGAACATTTTATTTCAATTTAATTAATGTTGCAAGACATATTGTTTAGAAATTAATATATTAGATTTCTTTTTTATTTTTTTTGCATGCAAATTTTAATTCAAGCTATAAAGATTCGTATTTACTACAAGTTTTAATAAAATTTCTATTGTATAATAAATTGAGTAGTGTAATAAAAAAGGTTAACTTAACCAAAAGAACATAGCATGGAGGTTTTTCATGGATGTGTGTATTACAAGGGATCGTCACTATTCTGCTACAGTAAAGACATGTATTGAAAGTTTTGCTACACCTCGCATGGAACTCACAGAAACAAACAAGAAAATCTATCAATTAGTATAAGTTTAATTCACATGTATTAACTTCTTTTTGTTAACCATTTAATGATTACTGTAGATTAGTTGATGCTAGTTTAAGATTTTTCTAAGTACAAAGGTGATAATTTCTATAGGAAAAGGATCAAGGTTTTTTCTTTTTTCTAAATTCTATTTCTTTAATCAAGCTTAATTAGTTTTTGTGATCCTTGAATCGAGTTCAATAGATTGATAGTCGTATATAATGTGAAGTATGATTTATAATCACTTTGACTCATAGTATATGAACTAGCAGCTCTCCAATAACAATAAAGAACCTCGCATATATTCTAAAAGAACATAGAATATATTTAAAAGAACATCACTTTATTAACAAAGAATATATCATATATATAAAAGAACATCACACATATTAGAAAGAACATACCGAAAAAAAAGATTAAAAGAACCAAAATCATCATTTCTTCAAATATAGAATGCAATTTCAGATTAATAGTTGCAACAACCCGAATTCAAGTACATAAATAAGTTAGAATTGAACCCCAAAAAACACTATCAATTGTCAGATGTAAGAAACACAACAATCACTAATTTTTTCTTATTGCACTGTAATATTTCCTAGCCTTGACGCTAACATCTGCCTTGTATTTATTGAGATCGTCTACAATAAGCTCATATGTATACCGCATCCTTAGACTCTTCAACGCATCAAACTATTACACAAAAATTAATAACAAAAAAAAAATAGTGTCCATAAATATAATAAAATTGCATGACACATTAATATATATCTTACATTATCAGCTTGAAGGCCACAATTCCATCTTCGCTTTCCAAAGTACGTCTCCATGTGGCGCATTGTGTATATGCCGCAATCAATATCGTTGCTTAAAGTTCTCCATGGCATTTCAACCAATTTGACCGTATATGTCGGCATTTTTTCCCCTATCCTATTATCAACAAATAAAGTACATATCAGTTATATAAAAGAACATTACATAAAATGATGAACATAAAGTTTATATTTAAAACACATACTAGTTTCTCTGGAAAGTCATGATACTTTTTCTCAAATGGAACACCCTCTACTAGCGGTCTGTTATCAAGTATTCAAAACACTTTGACTTTGTGTTTATAACCATGACATAAAAGTGATCATGTGCATGCACGGGGAAAAAGATCAAAACTGTAACAATTCAAAAAGAAAAAACAATATGTAAGTAACATTAAATAACATTGACTACATTAGAAAGAACATGATGTATTAAAATAAAGATCATTGAGCAATTATTATATTCACCTTATGTATGAAAAAAGATAAAACATTAAAACAAATTTACAACATACCAATTGATATCCTTGAACAGATTCCATTATCAAGTAACCAAAATTCGATACTTCCAATGAATTTATTGAGCCTAATATCAGTTGTAGCTACTTGACTATCATCAACGTATGATTCATTGAAGCATAACAAGTTCTATCATACAAAAAGAAAAAACATAATAATTTCAAAGATAAAATGACAAAATAGGATGTTATTATCAAATGAACTACTCTTACGAAGGCTTCGTTCGGGAAGAACAATCTCTTTTTGTCATCAACTGCATTCCTTGCATTTAGGATGAGACTCCAAGCATCAATGATGTTGTAGATGTAGACATTGTCACCAAGTGTTTTAACATTTTCTCTTGTCATAATTGAATGTCCATCATCATATAAAGGCTCACTACATAAAAGGAAACAAAATAAGGAAAGCATAAAGGTATATATAGTATAACATATAATCTCAAATATTAACTTAATTGAATAAATGAAAAAAATACAAAAAAAAAAAGAAATAAATTATCATACTCTTTATCAAGTTCACTTGAATAAACATATTCTAGGAAAGCATTCTTAAACTCTTCAGTTCAATCTATCAAATGAGAGTACTTCACCAGGAAAGGAGACTTGAAAACCTATCCCACCTTCCTAATTCTCTTTGTATTTTTAGGGGAAACACTACACATTTGAATATAATAAGAATTATATAACTATAAAAAAAATAAAAACACATATTTCTGCTTAAAAGAACGTAGATCTAATTAAAAAAGAACATATAGCTAACTAAAAAAGAACATATAGTTTTAATAAACAAAATTTACCTCTTTTCCTCCATTTTTTCCTTTCTTTTTTGTCCTTTTTTCCCATCAAGCTTTTCCACATTTACAGCACTGTAATAACACATATATAATTAAACAAATACATAGTACAAAAATATAAAGAACCATGTCAATATCAAAAATATATAATAGATAAAATAACAAAAATATGACCATACCCCACACTTTTTTCACTTTCGAATACATCACCCCCATATCTTCTTTTTCCAAAGGATCCTCATCTTCTTCCTTATCAATTTTGCTGACTTTTGTACTGTCTACCCCAACCGGTAAATCTAAATCAAATGGAAGTTCATTAACATGAACATGAGCATGTGGCGGTGTGAGCTCGTGACTGAAAATAAGGGGTTGGATAGGTGAAACAGATTTTGATGGATTGTCTTGAATACTAGACATCACATTCTTCATGATATCGTCAATCATGTCCCCAAACCAATCTAATTCAAAGAAGTCAATATTTTGACTAAGTATTGATGCTCTCACGGCTTGTTGACTTTGTGCATGTTGTTGTACTACATTTGGCAAATTGACTCCGGCACACTTGGACCACATGGTTGTGAGATTGTACATAGTGTTCCCATCAACTAACGGGGTTGTATGGAACCTCTCACCTATTTTCAAGATATTGGAGAGGCTGACAAAATCATTGGAAATCCTTTCAGTTACCTCTCGGAGCATTTGATTATACTCTTGACATTTTAATAATCAATTAAATGAGTATTAATAATATTCACTATATTATAAAATAATATGAACTATATCATTAAAAGTCACTAAAATAGAACACTTTAAAAAATTAAATGTAAACCATTATTGATATGCATACATAATATATATAAAAAGAACATAATTAATAACAAAAAGATCATTTCATAATAATCTAAGAACATTGAATTGAATAAAAAAAGAACATATACAATAATATTTGAAAATTTTAAACAAAAATTAGAGTTAAAAATAATTATATATCAAAATGAACATTGTTTAGAACTACGATGACCATAATACTTTATTAAGAAGAACATAACATATAAAATTAAGTAAAATACATCAAATAATACATATAAATAGTACCTGTACATTTGATGGGACTTTTTTCTCATGTTTTTGATATTCTCCACCATTTTGATGTTCTTTTTGTTGTTGCTCTCCTTGAGGTTTTTGATGCTCTCTTGTTTTGCGCTGATGATGTGCTTGATCTTGCCCACATTGTTCGTTTACATTACTTTCATCCAGTTGCTCTTCCTCCTGTTGTTGCCTTATCTTTGGTTGGTCCGGTACCACCACCAACTCTTGGTTCATACCTAATAGATGTTGTGGAATTGAGATGTCCACAACAATTGGTGGTTGCACTCTGTCCAACAAAGTACCAAGACCAAAGTCTAACCTCAATTCAAGGTCTATTCTATCCTTAATAAGATCAATAGTCCAGACCTTAATGAGAGTGAAGTCCCTTCTTTGCTCCAAAGTCATCTTTTGAAGCCGATCAAAGTAGCACACCTATCACAACATAATAAATTTTTAATTTTAAAAAATAGATACCAAGAAAATTATATGCACATCAAATATGATAAGATAAATACAAGACTAATTTTAACTTAAGTGAAGCATCCATACCCAAAGAAATGGTAAGGGCCCACAGAAAAACCTAGTAACACCTTTTTTGCAACAAAGAACCCACACAATCAAGCTCTTTATAGTGTAACTACACCATTCATATTCAGAAATGCGATTTACATCAATCACATTGTGTAAAAACCTGCGTATAAAAAAAATGAAAGAACGTTTCATATTATGATAATGCACATTAAAATTTACTTAGTAAACGATTTTGTGCAACAAACGTGAGATAAGGTTGTTGATTTTTAATACTCTTGATGCAACAGTTTACAACCAATACCAAAAAACTTCTCTTCCAATAATTATCAAGAGGAGTTTCAGCAGGTGCTAATTTGCTCACAAGTTTGTTCACATTATTTGGGAGTACTCCTCCTGGTATCTCTTGTAACTATGTAACACCTCCTTATGATCCGCATTGCCATCCTTTGCATCTACAATTTTCTTTCCTCTACTTGGTATTCCATATACTTTGTGCACATCAGCAACTTTTACATCAAGTGATCTATTTCTATCCAAATCTATTTTCATTCCTACAGCATCAAAATTCGATACAAGTTGTGCTGAAAATTCAGGATAATTGTGGGGAAAATCCAAATGCAAGAATACACCAAAACCCATATCCTTTATAGCTTGAAGCTTATCAGCTTGGTTAGCCAATTGCTGGACCAAGTGCATCAATGGCATAATAGTTTGCCTCGTTGTCAGCTTTATTCTAGTTCCTTCATCACCACTATCATCATCTAAGGGTACTACTTTTTGTGTAACTCCTTTCATGTCTTTCTTTAATCTTTTTTGATTCTATACTGCAACCACCTGTAGAAACTAAACAATTGATTGTGCTTCTGATTGATCAGCTACACCTTCCGCATCTTTATCTTGAACTTACCCTTCTTTTTACTAGAAATGACAAAAAAAATATACATATATAAAAATAATTTGGACTACTAAATATTGAATTATAAATTGCATTACCCTTTTTTCCTTGAAATTTGTTTAAATCAGTAAGGCGTCTTTTTAGGCCCATCATCATCCCGATGTTCTTTGTCTCGCTTTGTTTCATCCTCAGTATTAGGCTCTACTAAACCAGATTGCTTTAGTACTTCACCATCATCCTCAGATCTTCAATATTAAGTTAAAGAAACATAAAATTAAATGCTTATAAAATAAACATTGAGTCTTTAAAAAATGTACACAAATACTATCCTTAAAATGTACAAAAAGTGAAAAATTTGTCTTAAATATTATAAAATAATAATAACAGGTAAGGGCAAACTGAAACGTTCAGACCTTAAAAATTAAGCTACCCTCTAAACTATCCTTAACCTACTACTAACTTTTTTGGAAAAAGAACATTGTTTTCCATTTTAAAGAACAATATTACTTTTAAAGAACAAAAAGACTATGAAAATGAACATTCAAATTAAAAAAAGAACATTCAAAATTAAAAAAGTACATTATACTTTTATAATCAACAAAATCCTTCTCAACTATCTTCCATAAATACTAACCAATAATGAGCCTTTTGCACGATTAAGGACAAGTAACTTATGGACAGGCTACTTCTCTACTTAAAAATGGCATATTTCATGAAATTGAATTTTGTCAATTTGTTTGTTTGCTACTTTGGTATGTTCTCTTATGTGGGTCAAGTAACTGGAACTTAAATGTATTTGTTTAATGAAGTTTTAAACTATTCAAAATTTGTAATATGTACCATAATTTACCAATATGTACATTATATCAGATTGTTGGTCGCAAGGGGACAAATGAACTTGACAATTTGTATAAAACAGGTACATTGAAATGGGGACGCTTATGGAAAGGCTACTCCTTTTCTTCCATAGTCTGATTGCTCATTAATTAATGACATTTATCCTAACCATAACTATAACTTAATCATAGAAAGAACATTCTTTTCTATTACAAAGAACACCCACACTATAAAAAAGAACATTCATGCTATCAAAATGAACACACCCTATTTCGAATTACTCCAAGGTACAAAGAACATCTACTTATAAAAAACGAACATTACACTACAATTAAAAGAACAAACTAACATGCTACAATACAAGGCTCACTATATAAAATAATACTCCTATAATTGTTCACAGCAACCAACCCAACAATCAAATAAAATAGAGTTAAGATCTCAAATAAAAAAAAAATGATACAATAAAGAAGGCATTTCGTAATGGTCAAAGGTTGTTCTTACTTGGTAATAGCAATATCTTTGTTAATGGCTTTCAACATCTCAGGGTCCACAATTGGATCTTGAACCACTGTACTACTTGTTCCTTCAACATTCTTCTTAGTTTTACCTTTCTTCTTTTCAAGATATACTATTAATTTCTCATCATCTTGTTCTTCTTGTTGCACACTACATCCCAAAAAACAAATTACCCACATATTCATTCAAAATTAAAAATTAAACTGGCAAACCGATCTAAATACTAGTAATCGAATTAAAAACTTGGTAAAATTTACATATTTCAGCAGATCAAGCTAGTAAAATTTGGTAAAATCACACATTAAAAAAAACAAATTACGACAACAAAATAACACTCCCCACGTCACGGTTATTGACGGTGGGCTAAAAAAAATACAACAGTGTTACAACCACGAAAACTATTCAAGAAATACCAAATTAACATCTAAATTAGATATCTTACTACTTTCCTATGGAGTAGTATTCTAATTGTAGTCAAAGCATTTATATGAATGACAAATAAAATAATACTCCTATATAAATTCTTCAACTCAAAAACTCCTATATTCAAGAGAAAGAATCACAATCAACTCAAGTCAACGAACCAAATACTTCAAATCTAAAACTAATCTACCATCCACAATACATAACCAAACAAATATCAAAATTAAAAGCCAAAAAAATGCTCCAGAATCACAAATTACAAAAAAAAAAGGAGAATTAAAAGAAATAAAAAAAAAACCAATACAATCAGCCACACAAATTCAACTCTTAAACACATAAAAATGCAAAAAAAATACTCACTTTGCTAATTCTATTGATAGATATTAAGGATTAGTGCTGAAATTATATATAAAAAAAATTCATTAAAAAAATTAAAAATAGCAACAAAAAAAAAAAAAAAAAAACCGAAATTCAACCTTAAAATTAAAAAAAGTACTTTGTATGATTAGATTACACTTACATATCATGTTCTTTAACAATCTTCACAAATTTTAGATGCCCAATTATGGTATTTTTGGCCGTAATCTATTAGGGTTTTTAGAGTACTTCAATGGTTTTTTCAGAGAGTGTAATTTTTTTTTACTGGGTGAGTGAAAAAAACCGTGTTATTTCAACAGGTAGACAATGTTCTTCGTATTTTGTTTTTTAACTAGTTGCTGGCCCGCACGCTATGCGCGCAATCCCCCAATTTGGTGATTTTGTCTCGGTAATTAGTGCGTAATTAAGTGTCGTTTATCCTTTAATGTAATTTGCTATATTTCGATTGCTTATTGTGATATGCTTTGATTGGTTATGAGTCTTGTATTATTTGTGGGTAATGTTTTGTTAGATTATTTAAATTTGATTAGGCTATACGAGATGACTTTAATTTTTTGTATACTAATGTAAATTGGAAAGTAATTATTAAAATATTTTGATGTTTAATATAAATTTCCATTGTAGGAGTTGAATTTTTATGGTATGACTAATATTTGATCTTTTGTGATAAGCCCAATATATTAGGCCCAAACTATTAGACTTGGACTTAGAAACTAAATTGCAACACAAATGAATAATACTTATTATTTTAAAAGATATCAATGTGTCTGCTAGTTTGATTGCATGGGAATTTTTTGTTCTTTTATTTTATTTTGACTTAGATTGTTTAATAATGCCACGAAAGTGTAAATTTTTTTAAGATTATGATTTGTTTTATTTAAAATTATAATACTAAACGTTGGTAATAGTAATACAAATGGTATCCCTTCTAAACTTGAGTAATACAAATTTTTTTTTTAATTATTATTGTTAGCCACTTAGTTGATGTGGATTCAAGAATGAATCATTTTAGAACCAGAGATTTGAAATATTGGTCTAATACATGGATTATTTCGTTTTTTAAACTTTTGAAGCCATTTGTGTTTTTCTATTTGAATTGACTTCTGTATGAATATGTTAGTGAACATGATTTTGTATCATACAAGTATATGGTTGCATTTTGAGTGCCATATTGTACTCCCTCTCCCCATCTAGGACCTTTTTTCCTTTTTTTTAAGGAAAATTTAACCGAGACTTTATTCACTTTGCAAAACACATATCTTTCAACTATCATGGACTTTTTTAATAATCACCTCAGATTTATAGGCTATATTTCATAAAAACGAAGGAAGTGGATTCTATATTATATATAAAAAAAATCATGAATATTTGGGAATGAACATTCAGATAGGAAAGAAAAAGAAGAAGCATAAAAAAATATTCAACATCATATCTCATAGTATTGCTTAAGATGCAAATTGATAACATAAAAATAAATTACAAGCATACAACAATACAAAGAGAAAGAGAATCAATCAAATATGTGGAGGAAAAGAAACAAGTCGAAAAATAGCAACAAACAACGAATGCATCCTCACAATAATGAGAAGATCCCTTCAACTCCACTATAGTATTATCTAGTGATAAAATAGACAACATTACTGTTAATCCGTATTCTTAATCTAGCAACCAATCATAACCAACATATTTGTGCATATTCCATATCATTTTAAAGAACAACATGCCAATATAATTCCAAAGCAACTTGATTAAATCTATTCTCTTTCTCTCATACAATAATTTTCTTATAAACTCGAAATTCATATTTAATAAAGGGAAATTAAGTAATTAAGATAAAACAGATATAATTAACAAATAAACTCACCTCTTTTTCAAGCTTAGCAGTTCTTCCATCCATAGTATAAAGAATACATAGGAATATTAAAACAATTTAAGTTCGGTAACTTGCAAAATACGATAATCGAATGTAAAGAATACATAGGAATATTAAAACAATAAAAAAGGACTAAATTACATTTAATAAGTAAAAGTAATTATATTATTGATTGTCTTTGTAAATGAATTACAAGGTAATATTGTAATTTTACATTAGGATAATTTGCCAATTAGTACCGCAAGTTAATACCACTTTGTATATTACTACCGCAAGTTAATTCCACTTTGTAAATTACTACCGCAAATTAAAAAAAGTTGTGAATTACTACCGCAAAATTTTTTAAGATGTTGCGATTACTACCAAACCCCCATTAAACCCAACTATGACGTCATTATATCCCTTTAACCGTGTTTGACCATGGTTAAGGGCTTTAACCAGCCCCCCCCCCCCCAAAAAAAAAAAAAAAAAATGGTTTAGGGATATAATGACGTCATGGTTAAGGGCTTTAACCATGGGTTAAAGTGATATAATGACGTCATAGTTGGGTTTAATGGGGGTTTGATAGTAATCGCAATATCTTAAAATTTTTTACGGTAGTAATTCACAACTTTTTTAATTTGCGGTAGCAATTTACAAAGTAGTATTAACTTGCGGTAGTAATTGGCAAATTTTCCTTTACATTATTTAATCTTAAAATACAATTTCTTCTAATGATATGTAAAACTTTTTTCGCTATTAGCCATCCAACGTGCAAAATCCTCCAAAATTAAGTTGGTCGGTAGTAGATGATCTACTATTATGGAATATTATTCCATTTCTTTCTTGTAGACACCAACACCATTGGCTTTACCGGCCAACTTGGGTTTTATTTAGGTGTTTAGTTGTCAATTTTTAAGTGATTTTATTTATTGACAACCCACCTAAACAAATATATATACGTGTACGTAATATGGAAAATCTCTAAAATTATAGATTTTCTCATATTTGCACAGTTCTCCCAAGTTTATTTGTTGGAGTTGGATTCATCTGATGGAAATTAATTCCATTTGTTTTACATAAACACCGACTCCATTTGCTTCAATGCATAACTTGGGATTTATTTATACCTTTTAATATTAATATGTTGCTTCCGCAGTGAATTTAACCGCCGGAAACATAATTATATTGAAGTGCATTTTAAGGGAATTCATTACCACCAACTTTGGTGCTGATTCCCTGTTTTACCACGAACTTTGCTGCTGATTGTGTTTTTATGTATAGATGGAATAATATTTTTATGAAAGCTGAAATTGTTTTTTGGTTATAATAGGAAGGTGAAGTTGATATTTTTTGGTAATTATTGTTTGAGGCATTTTGTAAGTTAGGATGATAAGGAATTTGTGTTTTTCTTTTTGTTGTGATGTTTTAGTTTTTATGTGTTTTGTAATGTGTCGGAATGAATTATTTTGCATTTTCTCATTCACATGTTGAGTCCTATTTATAGTAAGAAAGTGCAATTTTTTTTTTTTTCATTTTTTTTATGATGAGAACTTTGTTTTGTAGTGCTTTTATTTGTGCTTTTTTCAATTGCTCTTTATTAGATTGTATTTATGGTGGTTCAGTAGTTTGGCACATTTTTTCTCATATTAATTATTGTATTATCTTTCTTTTGCCTATCTGATATGGATATGAATTAAAGAAGACTTTTTACTCTAATTATTATTTTAATTTAAGCTATATTACTTTAATTAGAATTCTAATTAGAACTTCCTTTATTATTTGATGATTTTTTTAGACTAAATATTGTATCTTATTTTATGATTTTTAAGGAAAAATAAATAAAACGGTTTGTTTAGCAGAATTTAGTTCTAAAATGGTTTAACAATGTCTCCAAAAGCTGATGGTGGAGTTTTACCATTCTTTACAACGTGAATCAGACTGATATTGTCCGTCTTTAAACCTCATTAACAATTAAGTTTATTATTAATTGTAAATGAAGTGTATATTATGTTAAAATAATGTCTTATTATTGTTTTGTTTGGTAAATAATGCTACTGGTCAAATCTAGCATTAAAATGATGTAAAGTGGATGTTAGCAGTAACAAAGTAACAAGTACTTCAAACAAAAATTTCACCTTTTTTTTTAATTGTAATATTCTATAATAGCCTCAATTTTCGAGATCAATAGTATGTTAACACATCCACCCTCGCCCTTCAAAATTATTAAATAATATTAATTTATCTTAGCTTAAATTTGCTTGGTGTTGTTGCTCTGATTTTATCTGTTGAAGGTGCACATGGCTATTGTTTTAAATGAATGGTGGAAGATAAATTGCAATGGCTGTCCTCTCTGAATAAGTAGCATGCATGCTTCTTTCTTGTGCTGTAGTATGTGTTTAAAGCAATGAAATGGAGCTTTGTTGACAAGATTGTATAATGTTGAGTCTTATCTTGAATAAATTAATGGTACTAATTAATCAGTACTTATTTTAAATTATTTTCTTTACATACTTCGTATGTAATCAGTACGAAGTATGTAATCAGTTTCATTACATACTTGACAAGAAAATAAGTACTGATAAATAATCCGTTTCATTAGTATGTAATCAGTTTAATCAATTACTGATAAATAATTCTTAACATTAGTATGTTTAATAAGTATGTAATTCTTTTAATCAGTACTTATTTATCAGTATGTTTAAATTATTTTAAATCAGTGCTAATGAAACTGATTACATACTTGGTAAGAATTCATTTGGTACTAATGTTAAGAATAAGTACGAAGTATGTTCAAAGAATTACATCAGCTTTGGTTTTTGTTTTTCTTTTTTGAATTAATAAGGATTATTTCGCCAATTACAACACAGATTAATTTAGTCCTGATTAGTCTATGTAATTGGGAGATTATTTATGTAATTGGCAGTAAACTAAATTAATCTATGGCTCCCTTTTTATTAATTGATTATCCATGCTTAATTTCTATTTGAATTTATTTGTTCAATTTGATCCAATTAGTCAATTATGGTTTCCTTTCTATTGTCACCTAAATTAACGAAATATTGTTCTTGTTTTGAGCTTTTAGTTGGTATTTCTTTTGAGAACATTTTTGTGTGTAAGCTTCTCAAGCTGATTCATTTTATTACTTGCAGAGCGGGTAGGACAGAGACACAGAATAGTAAAGAAAACTGCATAGTCTGCATACTTCCCGCAACTGGAAGAACAAGGAATGATTCCCTTATATAAATCCCAGTTGATTAGCTTCTTAGCTTATTAAACCAAATGAATTTTAAACCAAATGAATTTCTGCAATTATTAAACCAAATGAATTTTAAAACCATATACCTAAAAATAAATCAATTCCAGATCATAGAAAAAAGGGAAGAACTTATTTCATTTGCAAATGAAATCTAGAAAAAAAAATTAAAATCAAAATGAAAGTAAAAATCAATGAAAACCGATTATTATTTATTAATTCTACTTAAATAAAAATGTTTGAATAGCATAGTGAGTTATAAGCTTGACAGGTGTAGACACCCATTTGTGTCTCCCCAAAACCAAGCCCGGTGATAAGTACCTTTCACGTCGGATCA